CCTCAAAGCTAACAGTCATGGAATAACAGCCACAAAACCCTCATTCTGATTTCAAGGGGTCTTTAAATGTCAAGCGGCTTACTTTTACTATGTATTATTCAAACATATGCTTAAACCCACCCGGCACGTTGTGTTTTTTGCGGCCAGAGTACATCGTCGCTGACCAAACGGCAGAGTGCGGCATCTCAGGTGCAAAACCAGGGTGGACTGTACCAGCGCCAAGTGTGAAACCTCTCCAAACCCCGAGCTTGGCTCATAAAGCCGGCCTAAGCTGCGTGCGAGAGAAAGGTCAGGTTCTAGTTGCATTCATAAAAAAGGAAATAATGAAAAAAAGAACGAAGGGGAAAAAGGCAGCAGCCGGGGCTTTCATGAATGGACCATTGTGATGCACGGCAGCCTCGTCAGTGAATGTTTTCAATTCCATTTGATCCTGTAGTACGGCTGCTAATTGGTGAAGCGTGTTCCACAGGTCAGCGTAAGGTTTCTCTTTCCACGAGCGCACTCTGCTCCCTCTGTGGATGGCAAAGAGAGTGCTCAGGCCCTGCAAACAGCCACGGGCGACCATTTGGACCAGGGGTGCCCAAACTCGGTCCTGGAGGGCCGGTGTCCTGCAGAGTTTAGCTCCAATGCACCTGAACCAGCTAATCAAGCTCTTATAGGCATACTAGAAACTTACCAGCAGGTGTGTTGAGGCAAGTTGGAGCTAAACTCTGCAGGACACCGGCCCTCCAGGACCGAGTTTGGGCACCCCTGATTTGGACGGTCAGAGTGATTTACCATGTCGCATCGGTCAGAACTAGCTGTAAATCTGGTTGGAGGATGGTGGCTTTCGCAATGGAATCATCTGTGGTTTGCGCACCACGTGTCAGGAATGATGCTTCTGCGAAACGACTAGGACTTGACTGTATGCTGCACACATTCCTCCGTCCAGATGATGCCCTTTTCCTCAAACCTCAGCCTGCACCGCCATCAAGGTGCATGTGCACCGGTTTGTTTGCCTTGAATAACAAACAATTAGATTGCGATCTGGTCTTTAAACAAAAACACACTTCCACCAAATATGCGCCTGGCCCACAGTGTTTG